GAGGTGCTGCAGGGCTGCAGAGGACACCTCAAAGCACTGGGAGCCTCCTGAGTTTCCATGTCGCAGGGGGGGATCTCCAGCATAGCAGGATGTCCCTTTGTAAGGCACCAGGAGGCTGGCTGAGCAGGGCATTGTGTGTTCCAGGGGTCTTGGCTTCTCTCTGTCTCTGGGTCTGTGGAGCAGGGAGGGACTCCTTCTCTATAGCTCTGGTAGTGATGGGGTCTGCTGCAGAGCTGTGAAATGGAGTCGTGCAATATGGGGCCTGTTCTGCTGGGAAAAGGACAGCCTGGAAGCAGGGCTGGCAAGGCCCTGTGGTGCCAAGTGCTCCTGTTCCAGCAGCATTAGACAGCCCCTGTGGTGCCAGGTGCAGGGCAAGCAGAGCTGTCCCCTGTGCCCAGTGTGCAGCAGAGCAATGGTATTTATCATAGCTACAGTAAGTCTCCTGCCCAGTCCCTGCCACGCTGCTGCAAGCAGAAGCACAAATCAACAACATGAGGTCACAAAACACAGGTAGCAAAGCAAAGCAAGAAAAAGGCAAGTGGGCAGGTAGAGAAGGGTGATGAAACAAAGAGGTGCCTGCTTGATGCAATAAGTAGCTGCTGCTATTTTGGTTGCTCTAGTATGTTCAGTAAGGCAATGACAGGCTTCTCTGTTGTACAGCAGTTTCTCTCCCTGCTGGCTCCTGGGTGCTGTGCTAAGCTGGGTGTGTTGCAGTTGTGGGTGGCTGTGATCCAAAGGCATAGGATGGCAATTTGGTTCCCCTCTTTGTAGCTGTGACATTGAAATAGTGAAGGACTTTCTCCTTTGAGTTTCATATGCTCAGCAAATTCTGGATTCAGCAAGGTCTGGATGGCTTTTTAGACAAAGGTGGTTGGTTAGAAAGCCTCCATAGGAATTGCTCAGAACTCAGCCTGTGGTCTCCATCACGTCTCCTTGCACTGAGAAGAGAGAAGTAAAGAAAACACAGCCAGGGTATGCAAATTCTTTCTTGCCTACCTTACCACTCAACCTCACATTCCTACTCATAAATAGGGTGTCAAACCCAGACTCTCTCTTACATGTCAAGAAAGGTGTCTCATTCCACCAGCAAAACCATTTAGAAACATCACTGTATCCATTTTATCCCACACATGTTCCCTCTTCACATCATAGTTCCTCATGCATCTCCAGCATCTTAGCTACACCATCAGCAACAGATCACTGCAGAGTCCTGTAGGTCTGAAATGCCTCTTGGGTATTTGACCAGTCTAAGAACAACCATTGGGCCCTTCTTACTGCTCCTGCCGCTCAGAAATTCTTGGTTTATTGCTCCCAGCCCCTGCCAGCTTCAAGGCAAAGGCCAAACTAAGCACCTCTTGTATGCTGCAGGGACAGGGAGGGACATCCACAGACCACCTCTGTCATGACAGAATCAAGATAGGATTCAGGTTGGTCTACACAAACATGTATATGTATATGCATATGTATACACACCTGAATACCTCTAGGCTCATTTTTGCTTAACACAACGCCAAATTTATTAATTCATACATATATATATATATGTATATCCCAAAAGATACCCAGAACGACATTAATTATAGACTCACTGATTTGCTCATTGAATATGTATAAAGTTCCTGTGTTAAGATTTGCTGAACTGAGCCATTTTCTTGCTTATTGATGACAGTGGTGTTGGCTGCTTTGCAGGATATTTACTTCTGACACAGCAGACAGCCTCTCAGTTCAGGCTAACGAAGCTGACAGAGATGTAGAGTTTGCCCACTGTGAGGAGAACCTCCAGGGAGCAAGCAGGCTGCTCTTTGCACGGTATGCTGCATGCAGACCAATAAGGCATACTTAAATTTTAGAATAATCTGCCAGACCATGCAAAAGCAGTCATCTTGTGCTCACAGGTCTTGCCAACTTGTGCACCGAGCGCAATCTTCCCTGTAGAATAAACCAGGAGCTACCTTGCCAAGGATCTGTCCTATGACAGTGCTATGATTCTATGATTCTTTCTGTCGTCGTGATGGCCAGCAGAAACTCTGCTGACTTTCCTGGGTCTGGACCCCAGCCTAGGTTCCTGGTGGAATGGGGAGACCATAGGTGCTGCAGCTTTCCCATAGCAGCTGCCATCTGTCTGTCTTCTGTGCAGGCAGCCTTCCCCTTCCTGCCCACATTCAGCCCTGACAAGTGGGCTTGCAGATGGAATGAGCACACACACTCATCTGGGTATCAAACCACACACAATGTCTCTGCATTGGGATAGCTGCTCAGTCTAAGTTCTGCCACTGTAGGATCCCTGTTAGAGGTCACTAAGTCAGACTGCTGATTTTTGCAGCAAAAGGAGTGGAAATCTGCAATGGACCTGGGACTGGCTTACTCAGTCCACTGATTTCATATATGGTGTGTGTGGAAGACAAGGTAGAGGCAGAGATTAATGTAACTTCTGGCACCAGTGAACATGGGCAGAGCTTGCCTCTGAGACCCTAAGAGTTTAACATTTTTTTTAAAGAAGAGGCCCCTTTTACTGTATCTGTGTTGTCATACCATACATCAGCTCCATGTACCAGAGCCCCAAGGGTACCCACAGCCCTACCCACAGCCCTGGGGGCTCCTCCACCCTGCCCATGGCCCAGGACCCCATCTCAGCCCCTCCGGGCCATCAGGTTCTGCTTTGTGCTGTCAAATAGCATCACTGTGTCCTCTCCCTAAATCTGGAGTGGTGTTTTAGTCAGCTTTTTATCAGAGTGCAGATACTTGGCCTGCAAGCTCATCAGTCCCAGCGTCCTTGTTCTGGGTCAGTCCTTGGTGGCCATGCACTCCCAGCCCTACCAAATGCCAGCCAGACTTGTTTGCCTGGGAGGTGGCAGCTGGTATTCACCTAGACCTCATCAGACTTTTAAAATACCCCGTTTTTTACTGATCTCACTGCAAAACTCAGACATACTTCCCCTGGTGACAGCGCTGCTTGAAGAAACAACAGCACCATCCCTCCCTTCCTCTCTCATGGAAGTGCTGCATCTCCCTGGCCGTGCAGGCACAGGGATCCATGGCTCTTGCCTTGATCACCACCGAACCATTTTGGTTGGAAAAGACCTTTAAGATCAAGTCCAACTGCTAAAATAGCACTGCCAAGCCCACCAGTAAACCATGTCCCTAAGCACCACATTTACACGTCTTTTAAATGCCTCTGGGGATGGTGGCTCCACCGCTTCCCTGGGCAGCTTGTTCCAGTGCTTGACAACCCTTATTAGAAGAATAAATTCTTCTAGCATCCAACCTTCACAGCAGCACATGGATTACTACATTTCAGATCCCCCTTAGAAGTTGGGAGCTGTGAGCATTTTGTATGTGACCACAGGAAAGAGCAGGAAAAGCAAGTTGCAAAGGACTTTAGCTCAAGTCCTTGCTGTCAAACTTAAAATAAAATAAAATAAAAAAATATATATTTAAAAAAAATCCCTCCAGAGGCTCTCTCCAACGAGGAAAATTCCAGCATGTCATAAGCAGAGCCCTGAAACCTTGGGAAGGGGTATGGTAAAGGGAAAAAACTGGATGGTCTTCAGTGTCCCTTCCAAAACCAGCTGTTGTGTAGTTCCACGACTCCAAGGAGCTCAGGTGAGGTGGAGCCGGTTTCAAGACAAGTAAGCGGCGCTATCGGGACCACCGGTCTGTGAGATGTTCCTGGGAGCAGACGGGTCCTGGATTTAGGTTCCGCACTCAAGGAATGCAGGTTTATACTGGACGTAAGGAAGAAAATTGTTTAGAACGCGAGTGGCGAGGCACCGGGACAGGATTTCCTGAGACGTTTGGGATGCCCCTTCCCTGGAATCCCAGCAGCACAGAGTCCCAGGGGTTGGGAGGGCGCTGGGCAGACCCCCCGGCCCAGCC